CGAAGAAAATTCTTTGGATGACATGGAAGCTGAACGATTTCATTCTGTGCTTTGTGCTGTTCATCTTAGCACAGCCTTTTCTCATTTCTAAAGAAACACATTGTTTGTGCTTCGCCAGGATGTCTCTTCGTCTTTGTCAGGTAATTATCGTGTAAAAGGTTGGCCTCTGTGGCTCATATTTGTGCTTGTAGTGTAGCAATGGTCTTCATTGAGTGCAAGCGTCATGGCAGAAGTCGAAACATTTAATAAGCTTTTGCAACGACAGTGTGCTCTCACACTGCGATAAAATTTTATTTAGTGATTAAACATGCTGGCAGTAACAATCACACTCTCACTTAGTGTTCATCTGCATGTAAGTTTCTCTCTCCATCCATCGTTCTCATCTCTAATTCGTTCGATTTCCCAAGGTCATTTACCCAATGCACGCTGGTCTTCATATTTCATTGTTTTCTAATTGTTTGAATTAGTTTTGCTCTTTCTGGGTGTTCGTTTTGGTTTTAGCTTTGAAGGTCTGCTTTGGGTTCATTATTTTTAACAATTTGGTAATCCAACAAACTGGTGACCTTCATTTCTGCTACCCCACCTAATTGGTGACCCTATGGGCATTCATCCCTTCCGATCAACATGAGCTTCAACTGTTCATTACTTTTCTCCTCCATCCTCTAGGTTTGGCAGCCCTAAGAAGGTGTCCGCTGCTGTGTTTTGCATCTCTATTCCTGCGTTTCTTATCGTGGAGGCTTATGGTGAAAGTAGTGTTTCTCGTCGTCTTGTGAACCTCCCCTACATTGCTCTTCAGGTAATCGCTTTCTCCTTCCTTACAAGTTTTCTGGCCAAACTGTTACTGCAATTTCCTTGAAGTACTTCCTGAATTTTCTTGCAGATTGGTCTTCTAGCTCCTCCTTTTGCCCTATTCATTTATCACTCATTCACCACACCCGTCTCTCCTCGCAACGGTCGTAAGGGTGCGTGTACATTTGCCTCTCGGTATTAGAACAATTTCACTGAAATGAATATGCGTAAGATTGCATCGTTTTTTTCAGATTTCATTCCATTCTACGCCAAAATTGCCGATCATGGTACAGTGTACTTCCTGGTAGCCAATTTAATTACCGGTGGATTGAATTTCTCATTCGACAGTTTGGTGTTTTTGGAGGTGAAACCGATTTGGTTCTCAAATTTGTGCCAGTTTTTATTGCTTTCAATGTATGCTGGAATCTGCCCACTACTAGCGGAATGGCTTAGTGGGCTCTTGCTCAAAAGAGGGAGAATGATCGATAAGAAATCGATTTGATTCTACAGTAAACTGCTCAGACCTGCTCGGTTTTTTCTTGTTTATTTTCACTCTTTTCTTATTTGACTTCGTTAGTTTTGTCTTTCTTTTTTGTGTATTTTTGGAATGCTGCGAAGCAATTTTTGATACTTCCTTACCGTAGATTTGGTGTTCTGCCTGGCTTGTTATAGGATTTCAGTGATGGTTCGGATATTGGAGCTTTTCTTTGTTGAAGAAGATAAATGGCTTTTGAAAAGCCTTTTTAGTTAAATGCATTAATCAATTGTGCTAATTGGCTCATGAGTGGATTTAAATAAGGCTTATGAAGTAGATATAAATTTTACAGTGATAGAATGATGAGCAATTGGAAATGCGCACCGTATTCATTTACCATACGATTACGGGATAGTCTGTTAAGCTGTTATTGGTGTCATTCAAAGTATCAAGAACGGAATTTTTGGGCAGAAAATCATTTAAAGACTTTTTCATGAGTCTAGAACTAGCAATTTTATGCTTCATAATAGTCAGTATTTTTACATGTAGGACTCATTGCTGAAAATGCTTATTCTGAAACTCACTTTGTAGTCTGCAAACAAAAGACTATTAAAAATATGGCAGCTTATCCATGCATCACACTACTTTTAAGCAAATTATAATTATACTTTGAGAATTTTGAGGTAAAATCATATATATATATATATATATATAT